GAAGGGTCTAGGCCCGAAATGTCAGCTTTCCTGCTCCTATGATGCTGCTTGGCCTGCTGTGTTCATCCAACTCTACACCTTGTTATCGCAGATTCTCCAGCATCTGCAGTTCCTACTATCCCAGATATTAACTAGTTTAGTCGTACATTGGGAGCGAACAGAAGTAGAATGGCCAGAAATTCTTATTTATTGTAGATTTGCAGTATGGATTTGCCACGTCATCTGCTGGGGGCAGCACTAGGCTCTTGTTTCTTTGATGCAACTACAAGCAGTAGGAGCTTGCAACTCACTCCAAATAGATAAATAGGAAGTAGTAGCAGATCATTTGTCTGCACCACAGGCACCAGGATGATGATTAAGTTGAAACCTAACTGATGAACTGTAATCAGCAGGTTGTTTAGTGTGACTGAGAATAAGTGGATTATCATATTGAACACCAGAGGGTACTCTTTCTATTGCATAGAACAGAATATCCTTTGTCACTTGTACTACAGAGGTATAGGAGTACAGTGAAAAATCTTTTACAACAGCTGCCTTTTAATGGCACTTAGGTACAAGTACCCAGGTACAAATTTTAGAGTTTAAATAAGTGTTCTTCTATAAAGAGGATTAAAGGAAAGCATAATTATTACTTAGAGGTAGTTACAACACCATGAAAAGTTTTTAAATTACCGTCTGATAACAGCAGCTCAGCACTTGGTGCCAGGCCCAAGTCCAGCAATTGTCCCGCATCACTCCACCATTGCACTATTCGTGCTGTATATAGCATAGTATTTCATGACTATTTTTCTTTATTTGTTGGAGGAGGGGAGTGGTGTTTATATTTACACTTACTTCCTCAGACACTTTAAGTTACATTTGTGTGAAAAGGGATCACATTCTAAAAGTTAATGCAGCCAGTAGGAAATTTTGAAAACGGTAACTTGGAGAGGGGTTTAGGGGTGTGTGGATAATCCAGTTACTCAGCAGTATCGTTCAAAATTGCTAAAGTGGAAAGCAAATTGAAAGTCAGATTTTTTTTTTTAAGCAAAAGTAATTTGTTTCTATTCCTCTTTCTAGCTTGCACTCACACATTCAAGTGAACAGTATCCCATCGTACAATTTACACCTTGCAGATGCTAGACACACAGGCTTTGGAGAGACAGGGGGCAAGTTACTGGCTGCGGGATTCCTAGCAATTTGCCTGCCCTTGTACCCACAGTATTTATATGACTAGTCCAGTTCATTTTATTGGCAACTGAGATGTTAGGTGAAGGTTCAATTCTGGCACTTACATGGTGTGAATGTTACTTCAGGTCACTCCTGAGAATGCTGAATAGGTGAAACAAATCCAAGAGTGACTGGGATTTTGTCCCTAAAGAAACAGTAGACACATTTTCCCAGGTCAGGTAAGCAAGTCTGCTCTGATACTGAGGGATAGGAGGGACAGTCAATCACTACTGCTGGGAAAGACATGATCTTCTCATTAGAGAGTGTCCAATAAGTTCCAAAATGCTTGTAAAAGGTATTAAAGCAGGGTAGGTGCCCATCCCTTATTACAGGTTGCATCTATAGTGAAACATTGTTGGAACAAGTGATTGAGAGAGTTGTCCCTAGCTTACCTGAATTGAATTGAATTAGCTTTATTGTCACATACTCAAGTGAGTATTGTGCAAAATTTGTACACACCCACTTACAGTACCAAATTGGGTACAAAGGTACTGAGGTACAGCTTCTTCAGTTACCTGTGGATGGATTTGACCTGCTCCTTGGCAATGTCCTGGTGGGGCTAAAGGTCGCAGTATCTCCAGGATGCCTGTTATGTCTGCAAGCCTGGTGCTTTCCCCAACTACGAGGTTAGGAGGTCGACAGCCAGACAAGCTCAGCAAGTGGAGGATGAGCTGGGATTGCAAAGACCCTCTGGCCTGGTCATCCAGATATTTTTCAG